CCACTTCCGGTTTTCTGGTGGTTTATTGGAGATAGGAGTCTCACGGTCTCTCCTGCCCGGGCTGGCTTTGAACCTCGATCCTCAGATCTCAGCCTCCTGAGTAGCTAGGATTATAGGTGTGAGCCACCAGCGCCTGGCTATGGCTTTTTTTCTTATGTGATGTTGAGGAATCAAACCCAGCGCCTCATGCATGCAAGGCAAGCACTCTACCACTGAGCCACCTTCCCAGCCCCAGCAGAATGATCTTGACCATGTTAAAGTTACTCAATCAGGCCAGGCACTGGTGCATCACGCCTATAATCCTAGCTACTCAGTATGCTGAGATCTGAGGAATGCAGTTCAAAGCCAGCTGGGATGGGAAAGTCTGTGACTCCGATCTTCAATTAACCACTCGACCATAGCTTAAGTGGTAGAGCACTAGCTTTGAGCAAGAGCTCAGGGGCAGCGCCCAGGCCTTGAGTTTCAAGCTCTAAACCAAAACCAAAACCAACTTACACAACCATCCAAAGCCTGTTACCTTCAGTGTAATATAAGAATGAAAAAAAAATTTTGGGAGATTTATAAGAAGTACATGAGTATATGAGTAAATACAAACCTTAATGAATATTAGTTCGGAATTCTAAAATTTCTTAGCATTTCCAGGGAGTATTTAGCATAAAACAATTACATACCTGCTGACTTAACTGCTCACAAGTTTCAGAAGAAACATAGATATGTTTTGCTATTTAATTGTACATTTAATGCTCTAATGATTGAGTGCTTAAAAGGAAAATAAAATTTAAATCAACTACAGAAACCTGGGATTCATACTGTCAGAAGATAACAATGAAATCCTTTTGTGTATAACTAATGTAAGTTGATTTTTTAATAAAGGAAGATCAGCTGGGCGTCAGTGGCTCATACCTGTCATCCTAGCTACTCAGGAGGCTGAGATCTGAGGATTACGGTTCAAAGCCAGCCCAGGCAGGAAAGCCCGTGAGACTCTTATCCTTAATTGCCAGAAAACCCGAAGTGGTGCTATGGCTCAAAAGTGGTAGAGTGCTTACCTTGAGCTGAAGAGCTAAGGGACAGCGCCAAAGCCGAGTTCAAGCCCCATGACCGACATTAAAAAAAAAAAAAAAAAAGAAGATCATAAAATGTTTAACTTGAGAGAATGGTAACTTAAAGTAAGCTTGGCATAGGGGCAACCTGCAAGCCCGCGAAGCTTCCTCACTACGGCACTACATGAATAATTTCTCATAAAACACAAGAAATGTCCTTAAAATATTTTGATACAATTCACAGAATTTTGATTAGTAAACACAGTATGAAGTCTCAAACATGCAAACACTGTTTCCCATATTGTGAACACCCAAAGTCACATGATTGCAATATAACAATAAAATGCAGTTTCTCCCAACAAGGTTAAGGATGAAGTTCTGCCTTCTTGTACTCAGTTCAGTTTCGCACTTCATAGGTCACTGAAGCCTCCAGCAGTGGGTGTAGGTAGAACTTATTCAGGAACGCTGAAAACTACATTTATTTGGCACATTTATTTTCATGTTGGTCACCACGATTAGAAAATCCAAAATCAGAGATGCAGATGGTTCTTTCCTATTGAGGTCTTACAATATAGTGAGGAAAATCTGATTTCACTTTTTACAGATCAACTAATAAAAGATCTCAATTCAGGCACATAATTCGGCCAAGTTTAGCTTTATTTCATTGAAAAATTCTTGTTCAAATATAGAGTATTTTTTGGAAGAATCTGTAGGTGGAAAGGAGACATAAGCCTGCCTAACACAGAGGGTAGTAATATCAGTGGATATTACCTTACCTCCAGGTACTGTAGCTCCCTAAATGTCTTGCTGCACTGTTTACAGCAGAGGTACTCAACACAGATCTCTATGTACATGGCACTTAAGAGAATGCCATTTCCCTTGCCTGTGATGCCAAAAAAAGTCCTCCTAGTCCCATGGTCCTGTCCTTCCAAGGAAGCTTTGTGTCCAGCCATTCTGAACTTTAGAGGGGTTTTTATTTTCGGGGATTTGATTTACTTTTAGAGCATTAAAATATCTTTGGAGAATTATAGGTTCAGATGATGTAGATTGCTTTCAAAATAGGAAATCAAGCTTAAATTAGAAATTTTACATTTCATTTTTACATTTCATATAATTGAAATGCCAGTGTTTTAAGGAAAAAGTAAAAAAAAAGTGTAAAAAACTCAATATCTCCTATTGTTCAAGATTAGTATTAAACAGGAATAACAACATAGAAATAAAAATAGAATGTGTTTATCTGCACAAATGGGATCAACTGTTTCTCTGAAATCAGGGTGAATGCTGCATCTCAGCAATTGTAACCTTATGAATTTAACATCTTCAAACATGCAAGGGGCCGCTTTCCTGACCACACAGACCAAGCATTCATGTTCATCTATAAGTAGTTTGTCTTCCACGTTTGGTTTCTAATCACCAAATACGTATACTTCAAGTTAGAAATCAGTCTTTGTGACCCTGAGTCCTCTTCAGAATCAACAGTGATGATTTTGGCAAATGTCTTGAAATAATGGACTTTAAATTAACAGGAATAATCTTGATAATATCAAAGAGTCTCAAATGCTTTAAATATGAACATTACGGAATAAAATATGATTCTCATCAGGTCTCCTTCCTGAAATCTCAGTTGAGGTAACCCCTGCAGGTCACTGCCCCACATTTGCATACAGTTCTGGCCCTCTTTCTGGCAGGGCTTTGGTCAAGGGAGTCTGAAGATATATCTCCAGAACCTGAATATGCAGGAAAAAGACAAAAAAAAGAAAAGAGGAGAGAGCTGACTAGAATGCACTTAAAATGTTCTTTTAAGGTAACAAACTCAACACCATTAGAGTAAGTTAATATCCTTTGTATTTATAAATGTGGATACTCTGAGATAGATATGAATTGTCTTCTAAGAGGTACAACTGGTACTTGGCCATCCTTGTGGGAGTGGCTACGTGATGTGAAATTTATGAGAAAATCCAATAGAAAACCCCTTTTTCCTGACAGCACAGTAATCATATGTGAAGGTCATCATTCTTAGAGAAACAGAGGAAAGGAAATATTCCCATTGTTACAATCAAGCAAATGGCATTAAATGTTCTCTCAAAAGTTAGGTTCAAGGAGGAGTAGGTTCACATGTCATTTAAAATCATACTTTGAATCTTGTGAATACATACCTATATACACATACATATATATATATACATACATGTATATATACACATACATATATATATACATACATGTACATATACACATACATATATATATATATCTTAGTAAATCTTCACAGATGAGGGCATATTAATACAAGTGGCATTGAGAAAGATGCTGTAGTAACTTCCAAAATAGAAGTTTTGAAAACAAATCAGTAGGTAATGTGGTATGTAAGAAAGACCATTCATTCCCTAGCCAAGTCAAGCAGATTTCGCCTCTAGCTCTAGCCATCAGATGAACTTTGGACCTTATGTAAGGTAACAAAGTCTTACAGCCTCAAGTGATTTCATCTTTTTTTTTTTGGTGCCAGTGGCCAGGCCTTATATATACTCTTACTTGGCTTGTTCACTCCTAGCACTCTACCACTTGAACCATGCCTTCAGTCCAGAATTATACTGGTTAATTGGAGTCTCTTGGACTTTTCTACTCCAACTAACTTTCAACTGGGATATCAGATAGCAGACTCCTGAGTAACTAGGATTACAGGTGTGAGCCACTGGTACCTGGCAATTTGTTTCATTTATATTAATTTGGTTGGGGTAATCTAAGGTCTTAGATATACTTCCTCATACTGAAATGAACACCAATGAAACTATACTTGAAAACCATACCTTTCATTTGATAATCAAAAGTCAGCTCTTCTCCAGCATGTATGGTTCTTGTGGAAAACAATGCAATTCGGGGAAGACGAGTATCAAGGTTGTCAATGAAAACATTGAACACCTGAAGATTTGGGTCACACTAAAAGAGGAACAGGAGAGCCATGTAAGTGAAAGTGATGTCAAGGAGCTCTTTTACATGCCATACAAAAAAATTTCAACTTATCAGTATTTTTTTTTTTGTACCAATTCTAGAGCTTGAACTCAGGGCCTGGGTGCTGTCCCTGAGCTAGCACCCCACACTTGACCTATTTTGGTGCTTAACTGGAGATATCTCATGAACTTTCCTGCCCAAGCTGACTTTGAACCCTGACCTAAAGATCTCAGCCTCCTGCGTTGCAAGGATTACAGGTGTGAGCCACTGGAGCCCAGCTCAGAGTATTCTTTTTTTTTTTTTTTTTTTGGTTAGTCGTGGGGCCTGAACTCTGGGCCTGGGCACTATCCCTGTGCTCTTCAGCTCAAGGCTAGCGCTCTACCACTTGAGCCACAGCGCCACTTCTGGCTTTTTCTGCTTATGTTGTGCTGAGGAATCGAACCCAGGGCCTCATGCATGCAAGGCAAGCACTCTACCACTGAGCCACCTTCCCAGCCCTCAGAGCATTCATTTTTAAAGTTCTGTGGGCTAAGTTGTTTATCATGGAATGCATCTTCAAAAATAGTTTTCACTTATAGAAACTTTAGATATACATGAGAGAAAATAATGCAGTAATTCTGTAAATACAACTATGCAGCTTAACTATTAATGGGTCTGCCAATCTTGTTCATCTAGTCTCATTTTACTCTGGAGACTTTTATTCAAGTCCCAATTAACATTATTGTTTAATCTGTAACTATTTTGATTCAAATTCTATGTCACAGAGTTTTACTGCTTAAATATTTATTTAGATCTGTTCAACATTTTGAGAACTGTATACTACTGTATGGAATATACAAGTAGAGAGATTAGGGAATTATATAGAGAAATCAAAACAAGTATTTAATAATATATTAATAATTAATATATTAATTAATAATATATTTATGTTGGGAGGTGGCTATCTTTGAGTTCTATATCCAGTTACCTTCAGATTCAATAAAAATGAATTAAAATGTGTGAAAATGATACTTGTACTGAACGTGTACAAACTGATTGCTCTTGCCAGTATTCCCTAAATAATAGAGTGCAACCAATAGCTACCCTCTACTTATATTATTAGCAATCTAGACATGATTTAAAGAATAAGAGAAAATGTGCAGGTTGTATTCCAATACTATAGTAGTATTATTTAAGCTACTGGAGCATTGAAGTATTTTGGTGCCTGCAGAGAATCCTGAAGCCAATCCTGAGATACTAAAGGATTACTGCACCTCAAGTTTATTAAGAAAAAAGTTTTAGCCAGTATGGTACAGTGGCTCATCTTAAGCCCACATACAGACATGGGCTAAAAGTGAGAACCTATCTCAAAATAACCAGGGCAAAAAAGACTGGAGGTGTAGCTCAGTAGTAAAGTGCCTGTTTAGCAAGCATGAGGCCCTGAATTCAAACCCCAGTTCTGAAAATAGCAAACAAACTTTTGTTTTTGTCAGGCCTAGGGCTTGAACTCAGGCCTGAGCAGTTCCTGAGCTTCTTTTGCTCAAGGCTAGCACTATTATCACTTAAACCACAGTGCCACTTCCAGCCTTTTCTGTGTATGTGGTACTGAGGAATTGAACCCAGGGTTTCATGCATGCTAGGCAAGCACTCTACCACTAATTCCCTGCCCCAGCAAACAAACTTTAAGAAGTTCAAAGACTAAAAATGTAGTTAAGTTTCTTACATCTCATTGCTAAATCACACACCAGTTTCTTGGTATGCCATCAACCAGAAGTTTTAACATGATTACATCTTTATAAAATCAGCTAACTTTACTCCTAGGTGAATTTTATTATCTATAACATTAGCTATAATGTTATAGATAACTCTACCTAGCACCTAGAATATAAGATTCTGTTAGGATTACAACTCTTTAAGTTCTTTCAAGTGTGAATTAAACATTTAAGGAATGCTAATAATTTGGAAAACTGATCCTAAATGCTTTCTATACTCCACAAACCCTTAATTATATACATAACATGTTCACATTCTAAGAAACTACATCTATATTCAGCTGCACAGTCGTGACCCTGGATGGATGCCTGAACTGCACATAATGCCAAATGCTTATTATGTACTATACTTACAATAAATTGAACTTACATAGTAGGCACAGTAAGAGACTAACAATAGTGTGACTAACACTATAATAAAATTAAGCAACTGTGATGTGTCCCTCAAAATCAAGTTGTCCTTTCTCCTTTAGAAACACTCTTTACCTTTTTTGCATATCCAAATTGCTTATATCAGTGCTCTTTGTGTGAGGCTACCTTAAGTAAAATACGGGTCCTTTGAAGACAAGCACTGTGATACTTTGACAGTTAACCCAGTGAGCTAGAGACTAACAAGTGTGTAGGTTTATACAGTGTGGACATGCTGGGCAGAGAGCTGACTCATGTTATAGATAGGGTGACATCGAACAGTGACAGAGCTCATCTTTCAGAATGGCATGCAACTGAATATTTATCAATTATTTAAAATTTCCACTAAGCATTGGCAACTGACTATCAATAACAAACTATGGGAAGGAAGGGAAAATGGTCTAAGAGTTCACTGGGTCAGCTTCCCTAAAACACGATAGACTCTTGCATAAACATTTTACTTCACTTCCTCCTCTGATGTGGTGATAGTATTTACTTTATTGTTAGAACATTAACATGAACTAACCTAAGACTCATGCAAACATGTTGGGTTTTTCTGGCACTCTATCCCTTGGGCCACACCACCAGCCCTTTCTCCTTTTACTATTTTCCAGACAGGGTCTCATGTTTATGCCCAAATCAGTTTCACATTTATGCTTGCTGCATAGCTGGGATGGCAGCATTTATTGGTTAAGATACCTGGCAAAAATTTTTTTGGCCTGGGCTGGCCTCAACTGTGATCTGACCAATCTCAACCTCCTGAATAGCTAGGGTTACAGATGTGAATGACAACACCCAACCAAAACATGGTCTTCTAAGCACCTTGATGTTTACCTTGCTAGAACAGCAGTAAACCATGGCATAGCAGAAGAGGCCCTTACTATTACAATACCTGGGAAGAGTACTTATCCTTTATGGAAAAGTTATTAAAAACAGGCCCAAGTTGAATTGGTCTTGTCTATAAGTATTCCTTACACTGTGATTCACAAAATGGGAAATATTTCCGTATCGAGCTGCATCCACTGTGAATTCATCAGACTCGTAGTCCAGATCAAAGAGGTATGTGATTCCTTTGTTGTCATAGAGCTGTCCTCGTCTTTCAGCTTCTTCACTTGTGATTACCTAAGGAGAAAAAGCTACTATAGTTTTTTTCTTCTTTATTTTTTTGAGACAGAAATCTTTCTGTGTTTCTCAGACTGTTCTCAAACTCCTGAGCTCAAGTGATCTTCCCACCTCAGCCTGCTCAGCAGCTGGGACTCCTGCTAACATCATACCAGCAAAACCATAGCACTTTATGTTATGGTTGTTTATTACTGCTGATCTTAAGAAACATTCATTACCTAAATCAATATATTTCCTAAAAATGTTTACTAAAAAATTCAAGTGTCATCAAAACAAATGTTCACAAAAAAACCTAAAAGCTTTTTTTTTTTCTTTTTTGGTCGGTTGTGGAGCTTGAACTCTGGGCTTGGGCGCTGTCCCTGCACTGTTCAACTAAAGGTGAGCGCTCTACTGCTTGAGCCATAGAACCACTTCCAATTTTCTAGTGGTTTATTGGAGATAAGAGTCTCATGACTTTCCTGCCCAGGCTGGCTTTGAACCATGATCCTCAGATCTCAGTCTCCTGAGTAGCTAGGATTACAGGCGTGAGCCACCGGCGCCCGGCTTCTAAGAGCTATTTTTGAAGCGGGGAAAAAATAATTTGTTAAATAAAACATGGGACAATGAATATGTGGAAACATTGCACTACTTTTATTATGATTAGGGCCATTCAATACCCTTTACAACTATAGCTCTCTGCAGCCTATAACTAAAGAGTACTACATTTATATGAGTATGTGTTCCAAATGTGCTCTGAAGGTATTGTTTTCCTATAACCAATCTCTATCAGTTATAAATGGAAGTATGTTTCAATACAGGAGAGAATCTAGGATAAATATGCAGGAGTTAGGGATATAACTCAGTGGTAGAGCATCTGCGTACCATGTGTGAGGCCCTGGGTACAATCCCAGTGCTACAGAGGGAAAATGTCATCTAGAATTCTGCTCTTAAGAACCTAGCTTTATCATAAAAACAGCTCAAGAAACCAAAAATCTATCAACCAAGTCTAGTTGCTGCTTTCATTCAGTACATATTTTCTTTTTTTTTTTTTGGTCAGTTGTGGAGCCTGAACACAGTTCCTGAGCACCGTAGCTGAGCTTTGCACTTAAGGCTTGTGCTTTATCACTTTGAGCCACAGGTCTACTTCCGGTTTTCTGGTGGTTAACTGAAGTCTCATGGACTTTCCTGCCCGGGCTGGTTTTGAACTGTGATCCTCAGATCTCAGCCTCCTGAGTAGCTAAGATTATGAGCATGAGCCACTAGTACCCAGCCTCAGCCAAAATTTAAAAAAGAAAAAAGAAATGAGATTGTCATACTCATCCCCAAACCAGGCAAAGACCCAACAAAAAAAAGAGAACTGCAGACCAGTCTCTTTGATGAACACAGATGCAAAGCTCCTCAATAAAATTCTAGCCAACAGAATCCAGAAACATATAAAAAAAATCATACATTATGACCAAGTAGGCTTCATCCCAGAGATGCAGGGATGGTTTAACATACGTAAATCAATAAGTGTAATCTATCACATCAACAGATCCAAGATCAAGAACCACATGATTATCTCCATTGACCGAGAATAGGCTTTTGATAAAATACAGCACTCATTCATGTTAAAAGCTGTGGAAAAAATAGGAATAGAAGGTACATTCCATAAAACAATAAAAGCCTTATAAGACAGACCAACAGTCAGTATTATACTTAATGGGGAAAAACTACAACCAATTCCCCTAAAAACAGGAATAAGGCAAGGATGCCCACTCTCTCCACTCCTCTTCAATATAGTTCTGGAATCCTTAGCCAGAGCAATAAGGCAAGAAAAAGACATTAAAGGGATGGATCCACATAGGGGAGGAAGAAGTTAAATTATCTCTTTTTGCAGATGACATGATTTTATACCTTAACGATCCCCAAAGCTCCATCCCCAAATGTTTAGAACTTAAACCACTTCGGCAAAGTATCAGGATGCAAAATTAACCCACAAAAATCAGTTGCCTTTCTGTACACCAACATTGTACAAGCAGAAAAGGAAATCAAGGAAACAACTCCATTCACAATAAGCTCAAAAAAAAAAGTATCTAGGAATTAACCTAATCAAAGATGTAAAAGGTCTATTTCATGAAAACTATATTCCTTTTTTTAAAAAGGAATCATAGGGGATACCAGGAAATGGAAAGACCTCCCATGTTCCTGGATAGGCAAAATTAACAGAATGAAAATGGTCATACTGCCAAAATTGATATACACATTCAATGCAATTACCATTAAAATTCCAATGACTGAAGTAGAGAAAACAGTCCAAAAATTCATATGGAACAACAAAAGACCTAGAATAGCCAAAACAGTTCTAGGCATAAGAAAAAATGCAGGAGGGATCACGATACTGGACTTTAAGCTCTACTAAAGAGCCATAATAACAAAGACAGCTTGGTACTAGCACAAAAAGAGACCCAAAGACCAATGGAAAAGATTAGAGGACCCAGAAATAAAGCTGCATATGTATAGTCAGTTGATATTTGACAAAGGAGCCTGATACTCTGAAACTACTGCAGGACAGAGTAGGAGAGACACTTGAACTTATAGGCACAGGCAGGAACTTCCTGAACAAGAGTCCCAGTGTCACAAATTGGAGAGAGACTTGATAAATGGGGCTACCTTAAAATAAAAAGGTTTTGCACAGATAAAGAAATAGCAACCAAACTAGAAAGAAAGTCAACTAATTGGGAAAAATATTACCAGCAATATATCAGACAAGGGTCTAATATCCATTATATACAGGGAACTCAACCCTCACAAATCTAACAAACCAATCTTGAAATGGGCAAGGGAACTAAAGAGAGACTTCTCAGAAGAGATAAAAATGGCAAAGAAACACATGAGGAAATGTTTGTCATCCCTGGCTGTAAAGGAAATGCAAATAAAAACAACACTGAGATACCACCTTACCGCAGTCAGAATGGCCCACATCCTAAATTCAGCCAAAGACAAATGCTACAGGGGATGCAGAGAAAGAGGAATCCTACTGCATTGCTGGTGGGAATGTATACTTATACAACCACTTTGGAAAGCAGTCTGGAGGTACCTCAGAAAGCTAAATATAGACCTCCCCTCCAGTCATATCACTTCTAGGCATCTATCCTGAACAACAGGAACCAGTATACAAAGACACATGCTCCTCCATGTTTATTGAAGCACTGTTCATAATAGCCAAGATTTCGAAACAACCCAGATGCCCCACTACTGATGAGTGGATCCAAAAACTGTGTACCTATATACAATGGAATATTATGCAGCCATTAGAAAGGACAAAATAATGGCATTTGCAGGGAAATGGATGGAACCAGAGAAAATTATTATTTTGTCAGTCATGGGGCTTGAACTTTGGGCCTGGGCGCTGTCCCTCAGCTCTTCAGCTCAAGGCAAGCACTCTACCACTTGAGCCACAGTGCCACTTCCAGTTTTCTGGTGGTTTATTGGAGATAAGAGTCTCATGGACTTTCTTGCTCGGGCTGGCTTTGAACTGCCGATCCTCAGATCTCAGCCTCCTGAACAGCTAGGATTACACGGGTGCCCGGCAGTAAGGTAAGCCAAGAACAAATTGACAAACGGCACATGGTCTCCCTGATACGTGGATGCTTAAGCCAAAATGCAAGAAGATATGAAAGTAAACATGACTCAAGAAACAAAGGATAGCCACTCATTTTGTCGTATCATCACTAAATGACTCCATGTTCTTGACCATATATATGGTAGATATATACACACAACAGAGGGAAGCCAGGAGGAGGAACAGAAAGAATAAGTGGGAAACAGAACAATATACAACCAAGGGGCCCATCAGCTGCACTGGACATAGAAGCAAAAGTAGTAAGCAACCCAAAGACAGTGATGGGAAGGGAGGAATGAGCAGGGAAGAGGGAACAGCCTACACTAAGCAAAAGGAAAGAAATGTAAACATCACCTGATGTGGAAGAAATAATTTGTATTGTCACAGCTCATAGAATTCACAAACTTTATAGACCATGATAATGATAATTTGCCTTGTGAAGGTTAAAAAATGTGGTTGTGACTTTAAGTATCACTATTCCACAATACTGTGAAATATGTGAAATTTATGTAATCACCTAATCTCAATTTAAAAAAAAAAGTGGGAGAAGGGAAGGGTTAGGAGCAATGGATGACAATGTTGTCAGACACTTTGTATTCATATACTGTTTTGTAGAATGGGAACTTCTTTGTATAACTAGTTAAAGATAATAATAAAAAAGTTAAAAAATGAGATCATATAAGATCTAGTGATTTCTAAGTATGAGAAAAAAAGATTCAAAACAGGGATTTCATTTCAAAATTCTAGATTAATAGAGATAATTAAACATGACTCAATTTCAAAGAATCAAATTAACCAATCAGATAATCCCAGAAATGGTAACCCTTGTTATCTTTGTCACAGCTTAACCATCATTCAGTTCAAGATACTGTAGTGCAGTGAAAAGAATAATTCTGGAGTTTTGAATCCTGCCTCTTGTTTTCTACTGAGGCTTATTACTCACTTGGCCTTGAGCAAATTACTCCATTTCTCTGTACCACAGTTTCTTTAGAATGGAGAAAACTCGTAAAATATGGTGCTTATTACAAGAGTATGGTGGCACATGAGAAATACTAGTTTATAGTTATGCATACATATAAATGTAAATTTGCTAGTATCTGACAATTTACAAAATGGTCTGTAATTCAAAGTGGCTCAGTTATAAAGAGATTTTTCTTATGGATACATGAATGTATACTTTATAATATTCATAAACCACTGGTCTATTAGATAACATTATGTTGATACAGAGTATTTTAATAAACTTAACCATTATTTGGCCAAATGAGTGAGGTAAATTATGCCTTCTAATTTCAAAGTCAGAATGTGTTTAGGATTTTCTTATGACGTGTATGGAAAGATAGACATTATATTTTAAAACATATGCATCTGTGCTCAATGAATATGGATGTTTGTTGAAAGATGACTCTATTTTTTGCACATAAAATGATATTTCTCATCATGCTAGTGAACCCTTCTCCTAAACCTGAAAATGAGTTCCTATATATCTACAAATGATAATACAAAGACATATGAAATATTTATGTTGCTGCAGAACCAGGTATAAACCTTAAATATTGTTATGCAGTAAACTGAATATACCTCTCCAACATACTCCATGACAAAACTCATCCTTTTAATCTTCACAAGGGTTTTCACACCCCAGCCGCGGCCATTGCTAGTTCGAAAGATGCAAAGTGAATACTGCGTGCCTTTTTGTACAATCCTATTGGGACAATCTGGTCCACACTGGCACCTTGAGTTGCATTCATAGATGGGGGTACCAGGTGGGATTCTGATTTGTTGGTTCTTATTGTAAGCAAAAAGAACTCCAGCTTCCGTAGGACAGCATTTCTCATGGAAGCAATCTGTGCATGAACAACCAAAGGTAACTTCGCTGACTAAATTGATCCCGGGGGCTGGCTTGTATTCATTTATGTAGAAGAAGTCTGAAGGTGGGCCCTCCAAGTCAACAGTATTTTCAACTAATATCATTCCTTTATGAGTCTTGCTTCTGTTGAGTTCTTCTTGCCACCTCTGCAGAGCTAGTCTTTGTTTAGCTTTCTTCACAATATACTCAGCAACAGCAGGTTTTAAAGCTTTGTGGTCGTCTTTGGGAATTATGGCTTTGCCTTTCTTTACCTGAGATAAATAGTCATGCTTGTCATTATAAAATTGTTGAAGCAGTAATGGACACTTGAGATTTTGCAAAGGTTCCCAAGTATTTGTGGAATCTGGCCATCCTTTCCATTTTACAAGATAATATTCCATATCCTTAAAATATAAAAGAAAATGCAAATCAGATTATGATTGTGTCAATTACTTGAAAAAAACGAGATATCACCATTTTTCTTAATAAAAAGTTTAGAGTATGTACATGTTCACAAGTTCCTGACAGATAGCAAGTACAAATCATACAAATAAAACTACTTTCCCTTATGTTATGTAAAATATAGAATTTAGATATAGTACAACACGTTTGCTAACAGGTGAGAAGTATCTTACCTGGAGAAAGATAAAGGCACTGAAATTCACAAATATTTTCCTAAATAGTAAATTAGGCTAAACAAAAAAAGTATTTAGCTTGATTGTGGAAAGAGATGGTCCAAAGCTCACTAACTCCTAGGCTGATGTCTCGCTTGGCCCACTCGGATGCAGGTGGTTCTTTATGATCATAACTTCATGCTGGTCACTGGACATTAGGGAACTTATATTTCCTGATGTCATGGTCAGATATTCTTTAAATATTCTCAGCATTTGTTGTCCAAGTCACTGCTACACAATGTAGCACTATGGAGAACCTGAAGTGGGGCTAACATACTCAATTGAAATGTGCTTTAAGTATAATACACATTGAATTTCAGACATAATATGAAAAAGGAAAACACCTGACTTAAAACTTACTAACTGCATGCTGAAATTATATACATACACATATACACATATATGTATTCCACACATGAAATTATATGTAATGTGTGTGTGTGTGCGTGCGCGCATGCATGCATGGGCACATGTGGTGCTAGGGATGAAACCCAGGACCTTGTTCACATTCTACTCAACAAGCAATTATTCCTATGAAAGAACTCTGCTTCATTTTGAACACTGAATGCAATATATGCTTTCTTCTGTTAAAATGTGTTAAAAATATTGTCTGAAGATATATACAAAATCCATATTGGAAATATACAGCAATAAGTCTAGGGCACACTAAAATATTTGTCAAATTGGGCTTAAAGCTTAAAACTGTCTCTCATAATTTGGTACTTTTACACTACGGTAGATCTTAAGACTTCTATTCTTCTTAATTCTAAATTTAATTTTTTTTCTGATGCCACAAGAAAGCAATGTAACCTTGGTCCTGGTTTTAATTGCTATAGACTTTTTTTCCTACCATTGCCCTGAACTATGCCAAATAAATGTTACCAGAAAATCCATGAAAGAAAAGGAAACAATGGCTTTAAGTCACATGATTAAATTATCATCTAGAAAAACTAAAAATATGTCACTCAAGTTTATTTCCCAAATAGTACACAGTAGTCCCAAATAGTACACAGTAGTGGTTATTTAAGTCATTTGTATTTTAAGTGACTAAGTTTTATTGTGAATCATATTAGTAACTATGTAACTTGTGGATAATAAATATACATAAAAATGTAAGTGTTTTGGAAAATAGCACAAAATACTAATAACGTTTAATTTGGGCTTGTAGACTTTTATCTTTAAAATTAAAAAATGGCATTTCCATTTTGAAAAGATAGTTTTTGCCCAGAAAAATCACTGACTTTATGAAACAAATTCAATAACCTAAAATTCCAAATAAAACTTCACATCTCCTAGGCTTATCTATTATATCTTATCTGTAAGCAACTCTATATTACCTACAGAAATGGAATACAGTGAAGTGGTGAATTTGGAATGCAGTTATGCATTTCTTCTTTAAGACACTAGATTGTACTGCATTTGACATAAGCTCAATTAAATCACATATTCTAATATTTCTACTAAGTACTTGAAAGGTTGCTAAGTAGGAAGCATGATGAAATATAGGGCATTACAGTAGTAAAATCTCATTGGGAGAACAGGCAATGTGTGGGATAGAAACTCGAGATGCATTTAAATGTCAAAATAAGTTAAGACAGTCAATTACACTAAAAGAGAAAAAGTCAATGTAGGACAGATGACCAGAAAAGAGAAGTAGAACAAACTACCCCATGAAAGACTGAACTTATGTAAGGAATACTGCACAATACTGCCCAACAACTTGTATAAATATTAGTTTAGGGATAAGATTTATACAAGTTGCTGGGCACTGGTGGCTCATGCCTATAATCCAAACTACTCTGGAGATTGAATGAGGATCATGAGGATCAAAGTTTGAATGTGAGAAAAGCTCTTTTCTATCAATGTAGTTTGCTTCCTTTCTGTCAATCTTGTGAGAATTCTTTTTCTGAAAAGTGTCTGCTTTGGCCCATGGGCCCTTGTTAATTTCACTTTAGTTACATACACCCTTTTCCTAAGCACTTTCATTGAAACATCCTGTTAGAAATTCCTTAAATTTTAGTTGCATCCCGTTAATTAAGCTGCATCCTGTTAATTAAGCTGCATCCTTTTGCAGATGGTGAACCTGAGCTCAGCCAATGTGAGCAGAGGGGTGGGGCTTTGCTGAGTTAGAGATTAACAAGGGAGCAGCCAGCCTGCTCTGTGTGCTTGCTTGCCAGATTTTTGGCTAGTGGTGTACCATTCTGATCCTAATTACTCAGGCTGAAATCCTAGGATCTTGGTTCAAAAAGCCAGCTCAGGCAGGAAGGTCTGTGAGACTTGTATCTCCAATTAATCACCAGAAAACTGTAGCTCAAAGAATTAGAACACTAGCCTTGAGCAAAACAGCTCAGGGACAGCACCTAGGTCTTGAGTTAAAAACTTCACAAATACCACCACCACCAAAATAGGACCTACTTGTCCTAAAGTTGGAATATCAAAATTTCTTCTTCATTCTCCTTTCCAACTGTGTGTGTGTGTGTGTGTGTGTGTGTGTGTGTGTGTGTGTGTGTGTGTGAATTCAGGGACTGTGCTTGCCAGACAGGTGTTCTACCACTTGAGCCACACCTCTAACCCTTTTTGCTTTGGTCATTTTTGAGACAAGGCAACCTAGACTGTGATCTTATTTATGCTTCTTGTATAGCTAGGATGAGAGCTACACATCATCACAGTTCTGTTGAGATGGTTCTTGCAAACTCTGCCTGGACTGGTCTCAAATCATAATCTTCCTGATCTCAAACTCCTGAGTAGCCAAGATTATAAGTGTGAGCCACCACACAGGGCTCCTTGTCTTTTTTTTTTCTTTCCTGAGACCACTTTCTGTCTACCATTTAATCTGGACTGTCCTTGGATGCCTTTTGCACTAAAGTGTTTATCCCATTTTACCATCTAATGAATACTATATACTGTTCCACAACCAATGTCACATATATAACATTTTAGATAGTTTCAGAATTTGGGGATTCCATGTTAAGAAGTACTGTGCTAAATACTCTCTCTGGCCAACACCACCACTCCAATGGTTTAGACTATAAGTTATGTTGATGACACCCAACACTATCTACAAACACCCAATATCTAACAGCCTACTTGATGTACAACAGGTTCTTAATCTATCTAGATGGAATTCACCACTGTACTTTCTAAAGGGATTTAGATGAGACTGAAATAAGGAAGTGTTCACTAGGCAAACTGAGAGGTGCCATTCTAATTAGGGAGAAATTTGTGACATGGAAGCAGAGGGAGGAAATGGTCTGGCATGTTCAAGTACAAGCAGTACGTCAATATAGCTACAGGACAGTATATCAATGCTACTGCAATGTGAAATTGAGCCACACAGGCATCAGGGGCCTATTCCTTCTCCCAGTCCAATGTATCCGTTTCATAAAGGAGGGCTTCTTCCTATCCATCTCTATTACTGTAGCTTTAGTTACTTCTGGCTTCAATTCTTGCCTAGATTATCTTATCTAGATTATTGGGGGGGGCCCGGTCGTGGGGCCTGAACTCTGGGCCTGGGAGCTGTCCTTCAGCTCAAGGCTGAACCACAGCACCACTTCCGGCTTTTTTTTTTTTAATTGTGAAAATGCTGTACAGAGGGGTTACACTTACATGGGCAAGATAATGAGTACATTTCTTATCGAGCATTATAGCCTCCTCCTTTGTTTCCCCTTCCCATCCCTTCCCAGCCTCCCCCCCCCCCGCCCCCGGCTTTTTTTTCTTATGTGGTGCTGAGGAATTGAACCCAGGGCCTCAGGCATGCAAGCGCTCTACCACTGAGCCACCTTCCCAGCCCCCTTGTCTAGATTATTGCATTAATTTTCTAAACAAATTTCCTGCCTTTAAACTGACCACTTTAATCCACAGAACTAGGTACTCTTTGTTTTCTTACTTGAAAATTATTAATAGTTCCACTATTGCTTACAAGATATGGTTCTAAACTTGCTATTAAAATGAAGAAAGCTTTTCTGAAATGGGGATGTAGCTCACTGTTCCAGCACTTGCCTAGCATGCTCAAGGTCCTGGGTTAGATCCTAAACACTGTAAAACAAAATCCCCTAACTCTTCCTTAGTAGGGTGGCAGTTCATACCTGTTAAGTCTCAGCTACCCTGGAGGCTATGGGACTTGAGCTCACAAGTCTGTTACCAGCCTGAACAACACAGGGATACCTTGTCTAGAAAACAAGGCCCCTGGTGCCTCTATGGCTCAATCTGGCGTTATAGAATCGTTAATAAACTAACCAGTAGCCATCCTGAAGTACTGCTTATAGTTTAACATTCCAGCCTATTTGCTTCTTTCTAATTACCCAATTAAGTTGGCCTTTCACTCAACTTAGTGAACATGTATTTCAGTCTCATCCTTTTAGATGTAACCTGTTCATCTTTTAAAACAGGTCAAATACTACAGCTAGTTCTTTTATTTGTGACAGTAATGGCACTGGGGTTTGAACTCAGGTGCTCCTAATTGCTAGACAGACTATACCATTTGAGCCACATACCCCAACCCAAATGTCACCTCTTTGGTGAAATCCTTCCTATTCCTCTTGCCCCAAAAGAACTGCTGTCAACATGTGTTCTCATTTCTAATTTAAACTACAAGCAGTTTGTGAGAAGAGATGAAGCAGGAAGGACTATCTTTCCTGCCAGTTTGCTTCAACCTCTTTTGACAGTTCTTCCTGCAAGTATTTCTTGTTGTCCTTCAGGATTTATTTTCTCTTATTCTCATGTGCTTTACTTAGATGGTCATTTACCACTTCACCGATTCACAGTACAACAGCCAGAGTAATATTCTCAGCACATGCATCTCATCATGCCATTTCCCTGCTTAAAGCTACTACATAGCTCCTTGCAGTCTCGATTGCCTATAAGAAGTTGCATTTCCCAAGTCACATCAATTCTATAGCTCATCTCACTCTCTTCTTGTCGACTATTGACACTTGCTATTCCTTGAAGATTCTGTATCAATATCCAACCCACTTACCTTCATTCTTTAGGCCTAAGTATCTTTAGGCCTAAGTATTCTTTAGGCCTAAGTTAGATCCTTAGGTTATAGAAGCATTCACCTCAACTATAATAGAGTACTTGGTATGAGCACTTAATTCTCTCGGAATTTCGTTATCTTATAAACTCCATATTATCATGCCCTATACTCATGTCCTTTAATGCTGAGATTCCTAGTTCCTAGTGCAAGACACGGCAGATGGCCAATAAATAACTGTTGAGATAACAAATGGGTAAATTTACCCATTCCCGAGAGTTCAATCTTTATCTTTTTGACAATTATTTCAAGGTCTCTTTTTCCAATTACATCTCACTTTTGATTTGGAGCCATATTTTCACCTTTACATAAAAGTGTACTCAAGTTATTTCCCTCAGATCCAATTTCCTTCTCTAATATTCTTGGATCTTGAACAGTAATAATATTTAAACCAATTCTATGCAAATCAGAAACTCATACTTTTCTAGATGTAGCTCCTTGATTGCAGATTCCTACTACCCCAACTACAAATCAAAGATTCACAAATTTTACCTTTAAACAAATAAAATCAAGCCAGGTGCTAGTAGCTCATGCTTGTAATCCTAGCTATTCAGGGAGCTGAGATCTGAGCATCATGGTTCAAAGCCAGCCTGAATAGCAAAGATTACAGACAGACTTAGGAATGCAGTCTTAAAATGGGTACCATGTTAAACTTGGGCAACTGTAGGATATGTACCTGAAATGGAGCCTCAAAAGAGGTGAAGGTCATAGAAAGTTTTGGGTGTCATGAGACAAACTGGTATAAGCAGAAGCCATTAGGAAAGAGGTCACCCAGACAGCAACTACAAAGTGAGAAGAAGACCAAGCATAGAACCTTGGAAATTATCTACATTTCAGAGAAAGGTTGGATAGAAGACAGTACAAGATTTGTAAAGAACATTGGAAATTGTAATCCTGCTATGTGGGAGACAGGAAAGAGGGAACACAGTTTGAAGCCAGCCCAAGCAAATGAGATTCCATCTTAACCAATGGCTGGGTGCAGTGGTGCACACCTGTCATCCTCAATGAACAGTGAAGGAAGAAGGAAGGCTGGCCCACTTCAAAATAAATGCAAAAAAACACACTGGGGGTGTGTCTTAAGAGGTAGAGTGCCTGATTTCAAACACAAGGTCTTCAGTTCAATTAACCAAACAAAAACAGGGCTGGGAATGTGGCATAGTGGTAGAGTGCTCACCTAGCATGCATGAAGCCCTGGGTTCAATTCCTCAGTACTACATAAACAGGAAAAGCCAGAAGTGGTGCTGTGGCTCAAGTGGTAGAATGCCAGCCTTGATCACTGAGAGGCTCAGGAACAAAGCCCCGGCCCCGAGTTCAAGCCCCAGGACTGGTTAAAAAAAAAAAAAGGAGTACTGATACAGGCTAATGATAGTAAACACTGATATAATCACCAAATGTCACTGTCTTGTTCTAGGTATTTCGTGTTAATTATACCCTGTGAGATGGCAATGTTACTCTATTTTATAGACAAAGAAGCAGAAGGACAGAGAAAGCTAGAATTTGAGGAAAATGGAGCAACAGTATTGAATGTGGAAAGACTTGAGGCCTTCAAACTGGACATTAGAAGGTCACTGAAAAGAGCACAAATCAAAAATGGGTTAAAAAGTAATGGAATTGTGTGGGGTATATGCTGATGATCCCTGATACTGTAGATATAAGAGGATCATTGTTTGAGGCCAGAATATCAGGGTTCAAGGCAAGCACAGCAAAGTTAGCAATAGATTTTATCCGAAAAACAAACTAAAAGTAAGAGACATTTTTTAGGACAATGAAAAATGTTAAAATGACTAATTTCAGTATACTAAGCTTTGAATTGTAAATGTTATCTATGTGAATTGTATGATGGTATGCAAATTACATCTCAGTGATGCTGAGATGTAATGGGAAGTGAATATAGGAATACAGGAATGCTTGCATGAGTGGTAAGGGAATATAAAAAAAAGATTTCTGGGCTAGGAATGTAGCTTACTGCTTGCCTAGCATGCATGAAGCCCTAGGTTTGATTCATCAGTACAATATATAAAGAAAAAGCTGAAAGTAGCTGGCCTTGAGCAAAAGAAGCTCAGGACAGTGCCCAGGCCCTGAGTTCAAGCCCCAGGATTGGCAAAAAATGTAAGTAAATAAAATTCTGTGGACAAGGTAATATTTGAATATGTTTATTGAGACAAATCAGTGAAAATGGAGCTTGCTATTAAAAAAGACACCAAGATGGTATTGTAGCATGTGTCAGTTAATCTCAGCACTTTGGAGGCTGAGGCAGGATGGCCAGGAGTCAGAGGCAAGCATGGCTAGCCTAGCAAGACTTTCTCTCAAAAACTGAAGATACCGTCACAGGTCAAAGTCAGGATATTGAATAGGAAGAAAACAAAACACATCTTTAAAATTAAGAGTGCATACAGATAATTGGTGGGAAGATGAGGACTTTAGTCTTCAAAGATCTGTTCACTGAGGTAGAAGAGGAAGTATTCAGCTGAATATGAGAAAACAAGGGGTAGAGGAAGTGATCCAGAAAAACCAATAAATACTGAGAAAATAGATATGAATGGTGGAAATAAAATAGATTTAAAAAAACCTGTTGGGCTGAGAAGGTGGCTCAGGGTAGAGTGCTTGCCTTGCATGCATGAGGCCCTGGGTTCGATTCCTCAGTACTACATAAGCAGAAAAAGCCGAAGTGGTACTGTGACTCAATTGGTAGAGCGCTTGCCTTGAGCTAAAGAGCTTAGGGACAGCACCCAACCCAGAGTTCAAGCCCCACGACCAATCAAAAAAAAAAAAAAACATTGGGGCTGGGAAGGTAGCTCAGTGGTAGAGAGCTTGCCTTACATGCCTGAGGCCCTGGGTTCGATTCCTCAGCACCACATAAGCAAAGAGAAAAAAGCCGGAAGTGGCGCTGTGGCTCAAGTGGTAGAGCGCTAGCCTTGAGCTGAGGGACAGCGCCCAGGCCCAGAGTTCAGGCCCCACGACCGGACCCCCCCCCCCAAAAAAAAACCCTGTCAAATAGAATTGATAGGTATGAGAATAGAAGTACTTGAAGGAGCCAAAACGTATGATCATCTGATATTCTCAGTGATGTGAATTTTTCCACAGCTTGTAAAGGCCCTGGAGGATGGCTGGGCTGTTTCAGGAGCAGAGGGATGCTGAGGGCAGAAGTGAAAGTGCTTAATGGATGTAAGCATTACTAAGCAGGAAAGGCAATGATACCAAAAGATGGACATTTTAGAGGAGAACTAGATTTGCTGACAGTTCAACAGAAGAAACAACAAAGAGTTAAAGCAGGATTCTTGACTCCTTTACCTGAAGAAACAGATTATTTACCAAGATAGTTCTTCACCAGAAGAAGTTATAAATGAATTACTGAAAACTATATTTTACATGTTTTAGATCTTAAAAAGCTTCTTATTTAATCATGACACTCAATGTACGTATGTGAAAATGGAGTCACATAACTTGAAGGGATGAGATTGGGAAAGATGGGGAGAGCAATGAAAAGGGTGACACTGATCATTTGCAGCCCCCTCCCTCTGTGCCCTCTTCCCAAAAGCTTGTTTCCACTCCATGGTATTCATTTTGATAAACAGTTCAGTAGTTGGAAGAGCTCAATTTTTAAGAAGACTAAAGGAAAACCCAGAGAAGTTAGATGAACTTGCTGACATCAGTTGTGAGGTACTAAACAAAAGCCCCAAATGACTTTGAAACTCAGGACATTGTTACACCACTGAATCTATTAAAATCTGATGTGTGAAATACAAATGGTAATGCTTCTTGAGGACATTTAGCAACACTAACATTGGTTGAAATTCTAGGCTCATTTCAGGAGATCATGGGGGAACTATAATGCAAGAACAAACTGACTGAAAGGAGAGACCAACTGTTTGCTTTGGTAATTCACATGAAGCTAAGACTTGGATGTAGAGGGACAAAAGCACCTTAATATATTCTAGTGTTAGCGTTTTATGCTTCAAATTCCTGTCAGTATTACTTGGCAAATAGGTAACGGGACAGTATCAATGAATCACTACCTAGAATTTGAAACATTAAGAAGAGTTTGCTTATTTCCTTATTTATTGTTATGTCACAGAAATAGGAAATACTGAAGTGTGAATAGGTCTCTTTTAAGGATCTAGATATTTGCCTTACCTTTTCTACCTTGTAGTCACACAAGTATTCCACCTCATAATTGTTTTGATTCTTTTTGGTGACTCCCATCGATTTACATGTGAGCTTTTCTTGTCTACATAATTCCTGAAGAGTATCAAGTGAAACTAGGCAAGGAACACACCACACTACAATAAGAAAATAGAGTTCTTTACTAATGAAATAGCTACTCAGTTAAAACAAAATATGAGATACTTAAAACCTTTACATTTCTACCCTTCAACTGGTAATTTTGGTCTAAAAGTCAATATGATAAGAAACCAATTGTGTGTTCAAAAAAAGCATTAAAGAACTGTGGTATTAGTTTTCTTGTGCTTTCTAATAGATTTTTATCCTACTATGTTTAACTGATTATTGGTAATTTCTATTAAACCATGTGAGAAAGCCTTCATGTCTGTAAGCTATCTAAAGATCACAGATAGAGGTCGATATGATGTAATGTTTTTGACTTTCCCATTATATTCTACATAGAATTACTATCTGAATAACACATATCTCTAGGTCATACTTAATGTTAAAAGTACATTGAAAAATATATATATTTATTTTTTGGCTGGTCCTGGAGCTGGAAATCTGGTCCTGGGCACTGTCTCTGAGCTTCTTTTGCTCAAGGTGAGTATGCTACCACTTGAGCCACGGTGTCACTTGCAGCTTTTTTGAGTAGTTTTTAAATTGGAGATGGACTTTTCTGCCCAGGCTGGCTTCAAATTGTGATACCTGGCTCTCAGCCTCCTGAGTAGTTAGAATTACAGTGTGAGCCACTGGCACCTGGCCTAAAATATATTTTAAAAAATTGTAATTAAAAAGTAACTTTTCTGCCAGGAGCTCTTATCCAATTAACTACAAAAAAGAAAAAGGCTGGGAGCCCAGCTGTGGCTCAAAAGTGATACAACACCAGTCATGAGCAACAAAATTCAGGGACAGGGGCTGGGAAGGTGGCTCAGAGGCCTTGCATGCATGAGGCCCTGGGTTCGATTCCTCAGCACCACATAAGCAGAAAAAGCCAGAAGTGGTGTTGTGTCTCAAGTAGTAGAGCGCTAGCCTTGAGCTGAAGAGCTGATGGATAGCGCCCAAGCCCAGAGTTCAAGCTCCATGACTGACAAAAAATAAAACAAAAAATTCAGGGACCACAACCAAGCCCTGGGTGCAAGCTCAGAACCAGAAAAAAACCAAAACCCCAAACAAAAAATTACATAATCCTAATGATAATCTTTATTATGATAAGCATTCCCTTTAGTCTTTATTTTTCCTTTCATTAAGCTGTTGGGGTCTAGCATAATTTGACCCTTGTGACTAACAGCTGTTAGACCCTTCATTGACTCCAGTAAAAGACCACAGTTAAGCAGCCAAACTATGCTAGCCTACCTGCTCAGAATCCTCCATTGTCTTGAGGAATCTACATAGCAACTACAACTGCTTAATGAGGTATTCTCTGGCTCCCCTGTGTATTGTCCCAGTTAGTACCAACCAGGTCAACTAGCTTGTGCAGGATTGTTATTATTATTTGCCACCACAAGCCTCAGAGAACTCTCAGCCCTCAGCCATTTCTACCTTGGCCAGAGGGAGAGCCTTTCCCTGGCTACCAGCAGCAGGGCAAGGGCATGGAGTCATGCTGTGACTGCTGTGATTGATGCAAGCGCACTCTGTACTTACATGCTGGTGCATGCACCCTGGCCACACTTTCCTGGCAATATAAACAGGTTTTTCAGCTCACTCTGGGAGCCAGCTGGAAGATACTACCATGCGCTCGCTGGTGTTGCAACAGCAGACCCAATAAAAGGCTTTTCTTGTCTAATTTTGAGATTTGTCTTTAGTAGAGGGAGCTGTGCTGATAACAAGCAGGACAGGGGAAATGGCAGCAGAGCAGAAGCAGTGACAAAGGTGGCATCACCCTGGCAGCTACAGGGGTGATGAAGGGACAGGTGAAGGGTTCCAGAAAGCCAAGGCAGAAATGAACAGGAGCAGAGGACACAAGAAGGAAGATCTGTGAAAAGCTGGAGAAGAGAAACTGAGAGTCCTGCTCACTGAAAAGTTCCAGAAAGCTGCCAAGCTTGAAGGGCTAAATTGTTAGCCACCCTGGGCCCAAGAGCTGTAATATTTGCAGCTTAAGGTGAAGGGTCCTACTGAGGCCTGTGCAAGGCATCAGCTTGCTGGGTCAGCTGATGGAGGCAAAGGGTTATAGAATAGCTTCCAAAGGCTCCCGCTGGATAAAGCCGGCAGCCTTAAGCCCCTCATGAGTGCCCAGAGCAGGGCTTCCAAAGCCATAGCTGCAACAGGCTGCTAGCTCTCTGATCATGGTGCTTTAAACCTCTTGGTCTGCCAGTCCAGCCCCTAACAGGGGTGGGAACCATCAAGTCCATAGGCCCACAAAGTCATATGGTCTGGCCATGCCAAGCCAACCACAGACAGATCAATACATCGAGCTTTACAATTTTTTTCATAGCAACAAAAATTTATATGTGAATCATAAAGGATGACCAATTTTGAGGAACAAACAAAGCCCTTAGCCTTGTAGTACTAGATAGCATGTACTACAAGAGGCTCGCTGCTCGTGGCCAGGATTTCTATCCAGGTAGAGCTCAAAAGGACCAGTTTAACTGAGTAGGCCACACAAACACGGTGGCTTTAAAAGCAACAGCCTGTAACGACCAGAGAACAAGACGTCCCTTGACTATTTATGAAACAATGGCACCACCATAAAAATCCCTGCACCAGTGAGCACTAACCCCACCATCCCTAAAAGAAGTACTATTTTAAAAGGGAAAATAACAATAATAATAATGAAGTCATAATGGGGTGAAAAAACACCTCGGAATTCTAGAATGTACTGCAAAGTTCCAGGCTTTCCGAGTGCCTAATCACACACACACACCACACACACACACACACACACGCGCGCGCGCGTTAATTTTCCAGCTGCCACAAAATAAAACTCCAAGTTCCTGCTGGGCAAAATAAGTTTCCGGGCAAGCCAGAGGTCGCACTCACAAATGACCACTCTCGGGGCCTCTCCTTCCTAGCACCCGTCCTCCCACCGACCCCTACGCCTACAGGCCCGGGCTCTTTCCAGTTGAAAGCAGCCAGCAGCGAGCCACAGCCTCAGCCCTGCCCGCGGGCGCCCGGGCGGGATCTGGGGGAGGCGGACACGGAGGGGCGGCGCGAGGGGGCCGCGACACGGAGAGGGGCGCGAGGGGCAACACCATGGGGGGGGCAGATACGAAAAGGGAGGGGCGACTGGGGGGGACACAACCGGAGAGAAGACCCGGGGGAGGCAACACAGAGGGGCGACTGGGGG